AGAGGCTAATGTACTCAGTATTCAAATATACAAGTCTCTCAGAGTCAAGCCTGTCACACTCATGGCATAAAGACAAAGACACAAACCAGAGGGGAAGAGGAAAGGCGACATATTACTTCTATTATTTCTTATTCTAGCCAAGTTCTCACTGCTTTCATGTCATACCACTTCCTTAAAAAGCTACACTTGGGATTTGGTCATTACTATAATTTTTTTTAATCACAAGCTATTTGATTACAACTCTCTTACGTTTAATTTAATTTAATTTAATTTCAAACCTTTATTTAACCAGATTGGTCCCATTGAGATCATAGATCTCTTTTTCAAGGGAGTAATTGAAACAGAATAACAGAAAATGATTGTTTTCTCAGTCCTTCTAACACTTGAAATTGGAAGGTTTATGGATTAATAGGCCAAATATTAATAAAAAAGAAACAGAATTTCAGCTAAGCGCCATTAACATATTTCAGTGGGCCATAATTAGAGCAGTGACTGACTGACACACACCCACAATGATTTCTCTATCATCCAGCACTTAACCTCAAAACGGAAGCCCCCCCCCACCCCGCTGTTAGGATGACAGTATTGAAAGTGAGCGTTTTAATCAGTGAGATGTTCCTTTCCAGCTCTATGACATGCTAGGAAATCAAACGCATAAAGGCATAAAGACTATATTTACATGTTTTTCTAATAATTCTGCATCACCCCTTAATAAATTCATAACATGCTTACAAGTCATGGTACATTATATTTATCAATTTTGGCTTTGAACAACATTTTATAATCCTTGCACCACAGGCTGGCTAATGGACCTCATAATCAATATATATATTTTTTTACATGATCCCTTTGGGTTAAATGCACTCGTCTGATCTAATGGCACTTTCATGTATTTTTCACTTACCACACAGTATTTGCTCTTCAAGAAGGGTGGTTATGATCAATAAGTGTGTTATCATCATTAGACAGCCCTCTTAATGTGCTATTGGTGTGAAAGATACCAGAACAGATTTGAACTACAGTTGGTAAAAAAATATATATAACATACTCTGTGTTTGGAATGACAAAATCAAATCAAAAATAAATAATTGTATGTCTTTTAAAAAAGCAAGTGAGTTTTTACATCCAGTTCGTATATCAAGCTGGTTACATTGACAAAACAGCATGCACCCAGCAGAAGCTGAAATCTCCACGCTGATAATGTCAGAATAAGAGCCTCATCTGGAGCAGTGACATCAGGCACAAGCTACAATTTGGGATAGTCACAGGGTGCACCATCTCAAGTAACACCACAGAGTTGATTGCAGGTGGATACTTCAGGGACTGGAAAAGCTGATGGAGTGGATCCTGGTGAATTTCAAACCAGCCATGTCAGGAAAGCTGGTGCTGAAGAGAGAACAGGTGAACGACACCTTTTTAGCATTCAAACAATCACAGAAAAAGCAGCTGAAGAGCCATGGCAAGGAGTTTGACACAACCATGAAGGATGCATGAACCCTCCCATCCACCTCCGTTGACTTGGAGAGTTGGCTGAGAGCAGAGGACCAACATGTCGTTGTTCGGCCCAGAATACTGTGTCTACTCATTGTGTTCCAGTCACTACAGTCGACAGTGCTCTTTTTCTGGAGAGAGAAAAAGGTTCTTACAACAGAAGATAACACTCTATGAGCATAACAAGCTGGGAATGCCACTTAGATCTTTGAAAGTGACCTTCAAGGTGACACAAATTAGGGAGGTGTTACTACATAGAGTGATTAACTTGACTGTGGCCAAAGCTGCAAACAAAATGAAGACTTGGATGAATGGTGGGATTGGCTTAGCTGTTGAAAGCTGATCCCCAACGCATCAAGTTCCATGTCCAGAAAGGGTCCAACATGCTTCCCAGTTTCTTAATTCTCCACACATGAGGCAAAGCTTAGACACCGGCATGCCTGCTGTGCCTGAAACGTTGAACCCTATAGAGGCTTTCCTGAGTTGCCCCCCTAAGGCCCTAAAAGAGTGGTGAGAGGTGATACTGTTGGTGAAGTCCTAAAAGTAACTTCAGAAACCATCTGCATCAGCCTGCAGGAATATTGGCCCCTGCAAGAGAACTCAGCTCAAGTTCCCTCAGCATATCACAGTCAACACCTTGAAAACTGAAATCAGTGTTCAATCCTCTAGGCAAGTCATCATGCTGTACTTTCAGCAAACAGTCTCCTGGGAGGGTTGCTTGGATGATGGCTTTGATAGAAAGCTGATCAAATTCAATACTGCACTGATTGATTAATAAAGGCAAGGTGGCTTCAAGATTTGAGCTTGATGCAATTTGATACAGCAAAGAATAGCCATGTCAAATTGGCCTCAATGGTCTTTACAATCTATACAGCTACAACACCCTCTGTCCTTAGACCCTCGATTCGACCCGTGACATCACATTTGTGGCTCAAGAGAGTAGATCCGTGGGGAAAGAAGTAGCCATATGGACACAGGCTGAGGTCTGATCAGTCTCAGCTAGGTTGCCAGGAGGAAGTCATGTTATGTTGAAAGATCTGTAATCCCCATTGGTGGCAGAATGCACATCTTCATTTGATTCAAAAATTCTCTTGATAAATCTCATCTCATGCAGAGTGTTTTATCTCACTGAAAATACAACACTTACTCAGATGGTCATTTTCTGAAACCGAGTTGCTCAGATCCTCGCCAACCAATTACAATATTTTTCGACGTATGAAAATCTAATTTGCTTTCAAAGAAAAACAGCAACACCAATCTACTGCTCAATGCCAAGAGAAACTACTAAAACCTCTCGCTGTTTGAAGCCAGACAAGTTTACTATCCTAATTGGTCCCTGTGGGCAGAGCATCAGTTGTGTAAATAATTTTCTCAGCTCTTGGCCTTCTCCATTTTTGGCTATCGTGGCTTCCCTTCTTTGTGAAATAAAAGCAGTGCCTGTTGGAACGAAGTCACGCAATTCCTAGAGCACATTGTTTTTATCTTGTAGCTACAAACCAGCTTTAAATGAGAGGCTGCTGTTCAATCACAGTGCAACCAATCTTATCACCATAGACCCGGCAATATCTATTGGGGGTAACGAATTGCAGATGGGGTTTCAACTGTTGCTGCAGCATGTTCTGTGGGATTGTGGTTTACGGGAATCGGGTTACTCATAATTAAGAACATAGCTCGGAGCAGGTCGTACCCTCCACCGGGTCAGCTTCTGGGGTTCTGACGGGACTCGAGTAATTTAACTTCTGTTTTATGGACTGCTGGCACTAGATTACAAACTGAGCTTAACATTGTAGTCATGTCACACACACACACACACACACACACACACACACACACACACACACACACACACACACACACACACACACAGAGATACAACGTTTGATAGAGGCTCACAGCCAAAACTCCATCAAATAGTGTCAACTGTTTATATCCAAACTGAACTAAAGCTATTTCTCGTAGATGGTTTGTGCTTTCAGATCATAGCACTTTTGTCGAGTGATTTGCGAGCAGCTGGTAGTTTGTGTTCATTATTTTATGGTTGCAGGCAAGGGGGAAAAAGGAGAAGCGGGGAAATTACAGCTTGACCACAATCACAGAGGACACAGAAATGCTATTAGTTTTCCAATGCAATCACATAATCCAATGGCCTGGACATTTGCTTTAATAAGACACCTGGGAAATGCATCCATCTCATTTCATTTCATCGGCTCAAATCAATCTCATATCAGCATTAAATGAAAACGATGAGAAGAGAAATCTGTGTGGACAAGATATTAATACCAAAGGGAACTCCTTCATTACTGACTTTAATGATTGTCTGTCTTTCTTCTCTATGGTGCAGAGAATATATAGCTTTTTACTACATGCTATAAACCCAGATTGAAAAACGAAGGCTTTTAACATAAAAGGCTGTATTTTAAAGCACACAATTTTCACTTGAGTTGAATGCTTCAAAAGTACTCTATAATAGACATTCTTTCATTCCAAAGAGGCAATTTATGAGAAGATGTTGCATCAAAAGGTGTACATCGCTCTTTGGAACTTCAAAGAACAATGATTTTTTCATTAAAGCGTCACAAGTAGCAGCTTTGATACACACATAGACTGCTGTATAGCCATATCTATTAAAGCTTGTGGGGTTTTTCTCTCATGCTGTATGCTTGTGTGCTGTTGAATGTGGGGATGCTGCTGGTATCGGTGATGCTGAGAGTGCTGCACGAGGCGAGTCTTTGTCTGCTCTGGGAAGGCTGGGCTCCAGCTGGCTCCCGCTATGTGCAAAAGTCAGTGGGTCCCTCAGCACTCAGTGCAGGAGGCGGGCTGGTTGATTGATTGGGATGCACACCACCACCACGACCACCCCCCCCGCCACCCCTCATTTCCACCACCACCTCCTCCTCCTCCTCCCTCACCTCCTCCTGCCTGTGCACATGTGCCTTTCATACTCTCCATTTTTACCCAGACCTGCTTTATTGCACAGAAGCATTCATGCAGTAATGCTTACAATGCAATACCCCATGTTTTTAAGAGGTGCATGCTCACACACTTAGGTACACACTTAGGAAAACAAACAATATCTTTATTACATGATTTAAATGAATTAGTGTAGATGCTGCGTTATTAGAACACGTTTTCACCGGAACATGTGCATCTGGATGTGAGAGTGCTCATTAAAATGACCATGTGGGCAACATTGGGTTCATTCAGGGCAACACATTTGCTGTCCTTACAGATTACTGTTTTGCCAGACCGTTCTCCACTTCGCTTTGCTCTAGCAGAGATCCCTAACGAATGCATCATTCCAGACACAGAGAGAGGGCGCCTGGGGTAAAATATATTTTGACAGATTTGGTATTGCAAGTGCTTCTACAACCTATTCGCTCTGAATGAATCTCCCAAGTGTTGGTGGGAAGCATGGAGTTGAACACAAAAAGGAGGAAGAAGGGGTGTGTTAGAATCACCGACAGCTTTTCAGGACTCCAGCGACGACCAGCCACAGCCAGCCAGCCAGTGTCTGGTGAACGTGCGTGTGCGCGTACATGTGTGTGTGGACCAGCAGCTAACACACACTTAACATTCGTTCGCAACATGGCGTTGAAGCGCCGAGAGACACGACGGCTCTCCCCCGACTAATGCAAGCTAATTGTTGTTAAAGCCAGTGGACTGCTCACCAAAGAAACCTAAACATTCACAGAGAGTCCTTTACGCACCGCCGGAGACAAAAGCGGATTCCAACATATGCATGTCGCTATAACGGTATAGCTGGTTGTATAGACGTATTGCTACCCCACTGGAGGAAATCAAAGGCTGTACATGGCGGTGGAGAGTACAATTTGGCTGTTCTGTCTTCTTTCGCTGTTCTGTGGTCCATCAAAGCAAGGTAAAGCGCTCACTTTACTCATCTGCATGTTTTTCAGTGGAGTGCATGTGTGAGGCAGCGGGCCACTCACATTACACTGAAGTGCAGTTACTCAGAACACAAGTGGGCTGTGATCAAAGATAGGGGAGAGCTACTTGGGTGCACCTTGCACGGTATACGAACAGTATCCCCTCCGTGTTCTGTGGTGCTCACCTCACGTGGCCCCTCCGGTTCGTTCGAGGTAGGGTTGTATTGTTCCACTACGGGTGTCTCTGTCAGGACGGGCGGTGAAGCTTTGGGGTTTGGAAGTTGCAGCCCGAGGAGCGGTGCCACTGAGCGGCCAGGGGGCTTTGAACCGACCGGGGAAGTTTCGGATCAAACATAGGATGGGGCTCATTATGGAGACATGTGGGCTCGGATTTGGTGTTTAATGAGTGTGGAGCCCCCTGGAAGCAGCTATGTCTTAAATGTGCCGATTGCTTTGTCAGTAAAAAAAAACAAAAAAAACTTAAGTTTTCTTTCTTTTTCTCACGGTTTAATAACCGAATAGCCTACATGTGCGCATGGGACGACTGGTTTTCAGCCACTGGCTCAGGAAGTTCAGTGAGAGGATTTTGAAAGTGTAGGCCAATAGCATCAAAAGGACTTCGTTATCTATGCTTTTGATACACTTGAAGTAGAATGCGAGCTGATGTTTGGTTTCCGAGGCATTGCGGCGATGTCTCCCGAGAGTGGAAGCGTGCTGGTTGGAGAGGAAAGTCTGCCTACACAGGCGGCGACGAGTGGGTGAAAGACCGACTGCAGGATTTACATGACAAAGACCTGTGCAGAGTATCAGTGGAGGCTATTCAGCTGAAAGCTTTTCAGGGTCAGGAAAAGAAGATATAGGTGAACCTGCCATGCTTTCCTTTTTAGGTAAAACTGTTTACCATCAAGGATGCACACACAGATGTTTGGTACATCTTTCATGACTGTATGCTATTAGGCCACTAAAACAAGAATGAACAACATAGTCTAATTGATATTTCACCCACATTATCTAGCTGAATAACGTTTGAATGACTAAGCATGTTAAGAGGTTTGTGTTTATCTGTCAAGTGCCTGAGGACCAGACAAGTGGGACTGTGAGTTTGTCTGCTGTATGTGAAGAGAGGGAGACAGAAAGAGAGATGGCATTAAAGAAGACATTACAAAACTGTGAGGTGAACCTTTTTTTTTTTTTTACCTCAATCTCCAACATGTGGCATTCATATTCATGCTGGGCAAATAGGATTACACGACTCTGGAACATAAATCTAACTTATGCATTTGTCTCAAAACATATAAAATGCAAGTCCCCTTTAGGGAAAGGCAGAAATTGCTGCTTTTATTCCTCATGTATTAAAGTGATTGTTTTAATTTTGCACTGATTGTGTTATTAATTAATTGAGGCCACTTTAGTTTCTGACATTGTATGACCCACATTAATTAAGATCAGCAGATTATTCAATTAAGACATCAATGTTAGTTCCAGGCCTATTTAAATTGCCATCCAATTATTGTGGAGCCCCAAAGAAAGTTAGTATATTTAGATTTTTACTTGTGAACATGTCCTGATGTGAGAAGAATCACACCATTACTTAGTTCTGATGTATACAATCTCTTTACGTATATTATTGCTGAGGTCTTGAAATGGTTGATAGGTTTTGCCCACACGAATACTGCACAAGCTATTACTTTCCTTTAGTCTTATCTCACATCAACACTTGTCCAAAATGTCTGCTTAACGATTTACACTGTCTTATCGCAATGTTGTTTATGTGTTGTCTCGGATTTTATTACAAATAGATGAGAGAATTTTGCTTACTGTCGCCTTTTGTCTCACTCATTTTCCACTGGTGTTGTGTATACTGTATCGCTGCATTATTAAAGTGTTTTCATTGAGTGTTTTATCCTTCTCTGGGGTCTGGAGGTTGCTTGCACATCGTTTTGCTGCTGCTGCTGCAACTCCATTATGACATGCTGTAATTCAACACAGTGATGAGAGGGTGTTGTTGAAAAGCCAAATGTTTTGGAATGAATACTTCCAAAACTCGAAAGTACTTTAACACATCTATGTAGAACTCATCTCCCTCTGAGCTATACTGTAATTGTATCACAAGTCCCATCATTCATTTTTTCAATTATGCATATAAAGACCTTAAAAGGGAGGCAACTAAAAGTATGCCTCCTTGACTTCCATCTGATATAATAGTAGAAGGTCATAGGATACAATTTATATAGAGTTAGATTACCATGCCCCGCAGACTCCTGCACAGTCAGAGTAAGGAATGACTCCCCTTGAGATCCTCCTGACAGGAGAGTGAGTGCCACACTGGGGGCAATCACATCTAGATGATGAAATCTCTTGCTGGTAAATGGCGATTGTGATGGAGGTTGTCTGTGATAAGAGTGAAGTAGAAATTGCACTGAGATATTTATCATTGGAAGTTGGTACCAACCAACTTTGACGTTTGATTGCTGTCTCTGTATGAAATACAGAGGTCTTGGAGGTATTATTTACACATCACATTTTGAATTTGACAAAAATAAACATTTGTTTTAATATTAAGGTCATCTAAACTACTTTGCTTCAGAGAAGAAGAAACCACCTTTGAATCTCTCTGCAAACACTGACAGCAGCATCATGAATGCATTATTATAAAGATGATTATTTTGCATTACTAGTATTTACTTAGCAGTGTTTCCCCTAGGATGGAGTCACAGCAGCGGTGCTAAGGCACGCGGGCCCAGCTAAATGTGAGCGCGGAGCACGTGGAATCTTTTTGTGTGTGCACGTGCGAAGTGCGCCCCGCCAACATGTTTCTATGTCTCTGCCAGCACAAGAAAGGCTCTTCAGGCTCTACAGGTGTGTTTTGCTAAATCACCTTTATTGAACATACAGTAACACAAATACTACACATCCACATAACAAACAATCAAAATAAAATGTATGCAATTTCATTATTTTAACCTGCTTTATTTGGGGGTGGACCTCACATCCTCTAGGGGGGTCCGGGGGCATGCACCCCCGGGAAGATGTTTTAAATGTTGAAGTTAAATGCATCAATCTGGTGCACTTTGAGCACAAGATGAATTTATAGATACAGCTCTCAACACTCATGAAAGAGAGCTGTATACTTTTCAATAGTCCAAACATCTTTAGAATATGATCACAACCAATAACAAATCATTTAAACTAGTTTATTCTTATCTTATGTTACCTAGTTAGTATTCTTTCTTTTTCTTTTTGCATATTTTACTAATCACTCCCCTTTTATGATTTCTTACTTTATTTTGTACAACTATAATAAATAGTTAAAGGTGTGCTCTCTCTCGCTTTCTCTCTGTCTCGCTCGCTCACAGAGGCTGTGTGGCTACGGATTATTATTTGAATATATATTTATTTTTTTGGTACCTTTTTTTGTTGGTACCTGGCTGGTCCCCCGTAGCAGCAGTGGCGCGCAATACATTGAATGTATATAGGGGAAACACTGCCCTAAGGCTGACACAGTGTGTGCATGTTTCTCTCTGTGTTTATTTTGCTGGGTTTAGAAAGTGGAGCATGAATGTTTTGTGTGTCGGTGGTTGTGGGAACTGAGGCTGATGGGGGGGGGGGGGCGTGTGGGTGATTCTGGGACAGGGATGAATAAGCGGGCGCTGGTGGGGCAAATTTGAGGGCAAGGGCCATTGCTACATCCACAAACAAAGAGCTTGTTTTATCCATTCTAGAGATCAAATGAAATTATGTCAACTTCACTTAACATATCACAAGCAAATTAATGAAACAAAGGTGCCGGAGTGTCTGTGTGTTCACAGTCCATGCAGTTATAAATGGACACAATAAAAGATCACATCTGCACTCCTGCAAGACTTTATGACCAAATAAATCGGATTATTATAAAGCCTTTGGCCTCTTTATATGCGCATGGAAATTGTAAACACAGCATGATGAAGCATTGGTACTTCGCTGACTGAGAATGTCATGAGATAATTTACCCTTGATGCTCTGCATGAGTATTTACTGTTTGTATTAACAGTCACACAGCTCGCATGAAATCGCAGTCCTCTTATGATTTGATTTGTACCAGCAGGTGTTGATTGACCTCGCATGCTTTCCTGCACTGTCCACAGTTACACAGTTCGGAGATGCAGTGCAGTAGCAGTCTTGTGTAATTCCGCTGAAGCAGCCTGGTGTGATAGGCCTTGATTAGGGGGAAAGTACTTCCTATTAATTGAATTCCCTTTACCAAGTGCCATTTCGTTAAACTGCCTATTCTGCATGTCTTTGGAAGGAAACCTGTGAGCCTGCAGGAAAGTAAAAGAGGGACTTTTCAAACTCCACAAAGAAAGAAACCCTTTTGACCTTTTGCAAATTAATTCTTACCTATAGCAGGTGGTATCATATATTAAAAACCTTCAACCAAGAGAAAGAAGGTCAGCCATATATTTCATGTAATGTCTTCCTATGTGTGTGCGGTGTTCCAAAACTGATCCATAGGTCCATTCTGAATGGTGCAAATATATTTGTATACCCTCTATCCGTTTCACAGAGAAACCATTTAGCTGCCTCGTTATGAACATGTAACGGTGTAAAAAACACAAGGCTGAATGAGTTTGGTCTAATTGCTGTTGCAACTCCTTTAATGTCTTTGTTTTCTAAGCCCCAATGGCATATTCTTCTTGCTGTGCATTACGTTTTATTGGGTTTGAACACCAAATTAAATCAGGTTTAGTTTAATTGTCATGTTGTGAAATTAAATTGAAGCAAATTGAAGAGCCTGTAAGAATTGTGATTGAATGGGGTTGACCCTAGGGTAGGAAAGCAAGGAACCACTGGTTTGAAGTTTATTCAAATGAACGTGTCTCTGATTACATTATGAGTTTAACACAGCTTACCACTCTCTGTATTAACTTGTAATGTTACCCTGTACAGACGGACAACGTAATAATAATGTAGACTGTAGTGGAAAGCCAACGTGTGCCTTCATTAAAAAATACAA